GAAATAGAGGAAGCTTTGCTAAGGGATGTTCACATGACCGTACACTTGTCATCCAGTGTGGAGTGGCGTTATGTTGAGGCCAAGAACATCTTCAACACCACAATCCCAGAGACTCCATGAGATCTGCACTATTTTACACTTCTAGAGTTTAACAGATATGCACATTGTTGAAATATTTAGAACAAAGATCCAGAAGTGTAAAATGTATTTAGCATGAATGCAGCAGTATCATATCATCATCACAGAACAGAATTTTAAAAAATAACTTGTTTTTACAGTTTCTTCAGCTGTTACTGAGGTGCTGTGAGTGGTTGCCAGGGTGTTGCTATGCATTTTTGTCCACCAGGGGGCAATCTTTGTAAGTAAAATAGCTTAGAAATGTAATAATTCAAATTGAAATGTTACTGTGTCAGCACAGTAAAGTGGGATAGGATAAGGCATTTTAACATTGAAAGTTCTCCGAACTGTTAACAGTGCTTTAACCACAGATAAACCCACCACAGTGAGCGTGAAGCTGTGGATTAAAGTAGAGGAGCATTAAGAGTTTGGATCTGCAGGGTTTTCCCCCCCAGATTACTCCTGGAGAGGTTTTAGAGAAAGAAAGGAGAGAGGAGCGAGCCAACTGGCGTGAAACTAAAAGAGAAGTGTTAAATATGTCCGAATCAGCTGTTACTCCTCGATCTCCCTCCTACGATGCCTGGCTGCTGTGAAGCTATTGTTTTAGACTCCTTAAATCTCCTGCGTTCTTATGAATACTTACTCAGACATCAAAGAGGTGTGTGTGTGTGTGTGTTTAAATCTGCTAAAAAATGCAGCATGAAAACAACACTTTATATATAGCCTAGTCTGTTCTTAGGATGTGGTGTACCACTATATGAATAATTAAAGTCCTTTACACATCATTATGGTTTGGGATTTAGATGATACTGTATAATAAGCAGTTAGTGTATACAACGCTCATAGGCCTGGAAACAGTTTATTTCATCCAGTGCCAATGCCACTGCCAGAGCCCATCTCTTTCAGTGAATGGATGGGCACTAAGTCGTCAATCTGTGGTTCTCAGATGTGGAGAGTTGAGATCATTCTTTGACCGCTGGTTCGTTTTATGTTGGGGTTCTGAATGGGCAGCTGTTGGGTTTGAGGTCACTCCCTTTGGGCAGCATTTGTGGCCTTGGCTAATGGCAAACACCTGTGAAAGTTGGAAGGGGGTGGAGAGCATTTATGTCACGATTTGTTAAACAGATGGCAAACATCTTCCTTTGGCTGTCCTGATCACCACAGCTCATTTTGAGTGTGCCAGATTTTCTCTCCCACTTTTTTATTTGTTTTAGCACTTTTCACAGTATACCGCTTCAAAGCGGCTTTGCAGAAAATCATGATGTTGGTGTTTATAATATCTTAATCTCTTCATTCCTATAGTCGTATTAAGCTGATTAGAGTTGGGCGATAATAAAGTTTTCATTTTACAAGAAATCAAGCAGTTGAGACATTTGCTGTATATACCCTATACAAGTATACTGTATGTATTTGGATAAAGGTAGATATATCCAACTTTAAATAAAGAGCTACAGGGCAATAATGTAGTTTACCTTTTGTGATGCTATAAATAATGTAGTTGAGATTTGCTATATGGTACATTGTAACGGATTTTTGTAATTTGAACAGTATTTTACTGTAATATGTACAGTATAATACTGTTAAATGTGCCAACCGTATAATACTGTAAATGGCCAAGGATTATGGGGAAATATGTGTTTACTACTGTAATTATTTTCTACTGTAAATTGTAAAAAAAATCAAATTATGTAATAGGAAATCAATTCTAATACTGTAAATAAAAATACAGTAGTTGTACTCATGAATACAATATACAGTATTATTACTTTAAAATAAAAATATGGTACTTGTATTGTAAATGAAGAATACAGTACTCACACTGTAAATATTAATAGTATATGATTGTATTACTGTAAATGAAATTACAGTTCTGATACTGTAAACACATTTACAGTAACTCACTGGCATCCAGCTGCCAGTAAGTTACTGTAAAATTTACAGAAACCTTTTTACAGTGTATATATATTATATATAAATAGACATGTGGAGTAATATAGTTTACATTTTGTGATGATTTAAAAAAAAATTACTCTATAGTAGCCTATATGTGACTCTGGATCACAAAACCAGTCATAAGTCGCACAGGTAGCCAAAAATACATTATGGGTCAAAATGATTACATTTCTTTTATGCTCCAAATCATTAGGATATTAAGTAAAGATCATGTTCCATGAAGATATTTTGTAAATCTCCTGTCGATAATATATAAAACATTTATTTTTGTGAGTGAATAGCACAATTGAGAACATAAACGCACGAGGCGATTTTCTTAATTTTTCGATTTTTTTTTTTTGCACCCTCAGATTCAAGATACTCAAATAGTTGTATCTTGGCCAAATATTGTCCTATCCTAACAAGCCATAGGCCTACATCAATGGAAAGATGTATAAATGTAATAAAAAATGTCAATTTAAATAAAAAAATTGAAAAATGTGATTGTTTTTGTGGAGTGTATTGTATGTATCCAGATATATCAGATATCCAGGTTTTTTCAAGATTTGTTAAGAACAATAACTGTTTCTACTTTTTTTAAAGGAATGCTCTAGGTTAAATATAATAAAAGTGACAATTTTTTTTTATTAATGATTATTTGCAGTAATGCACTTGCAATGGAAGTCTATAAAGAATGGCTTTTCATGTAGAAATCTGCAAAAAAATTGTTTTGTTTAGTTTACTATGTCGGTTTATGTGAGTATACGTTATGTATGCAGATAAAGCTGGATATATTTAATTGCAAGTGTGAGTTAGTAATTCATTATGAGGTGATATGGAAATCTGTAATGTTTTGTTCAGTTTATAACAATTTGATGTAGTGACAAGCTCATAACGGTGTATTTTAACATGAATCCCATAGTCTTGCCTTATTGACTTTCATTATTGTAAAAATGCATGCAAAATGCAGTTTTCTAAGAAGTTGGGCTTGGGATATCAAAGTGCTTGTCCTTTTTATTCTTATTTGTGAGTTTTGTAACATTAAAATGCATACAAATTTAGTTATTGTTGACTTTTTTTGGAAGTAAACTAGCAAATGGTTTTTTTAATTAAAGTCATGCATTTTCTTGTGTACTGTATGTTGCATTAGTTTCACATTAGGTAAATTGACATGTTGATTTGAGCTTTCTGTAATGGTTAATTGGATAAGAGCAAGCCAGGAGTCATGACACTGCAGACAGAGCTGTGGTATTGTCAGTCTCATTAGGAGGAGACGGTTGTTCTGTCCCGTGGAGTGATTGATGAAGAGGCAGAGGGGTCTGGTCCCAGCAGGGTTTCTAACTCTCTCTCTCTCCTTCACCGGGACGCGTTGCGAGAATGTTTTCGCGGAGAATTCCAGGAAGGGCAGGAGAAGCACTTTGTTCTGATCCCCAGCTGAACTTCCCTTCATTGAAATCCTCATGCTCAAATTAAACTGCAGCACTGATGTAAATCCCAGATGACCAGGCTCTCCTGTACAGCAGAAGAAGAGCTTCTCTCGCTAACCAAACTCACCATTAGAACCCAAGTCATCTTTAATCTTGCCTCACTTCATGTCTAATTATATGGGCGGACTAAGTCAAGCTGAATAAAGTTACTGGATAAGATCAAAACGTCTAGGTAATGGATTAAAGGCAGAAAACTTGCTCACAGAATCCTTTTATGAAATGTTAACTATGGATCACTGATATCAGGGTCTTCTCAAATGACTAAAATGCATTTATTGGATGTGAATTATATTGCGTTAAATTGTTTCTCATTGTCTTTTACTTGTGAAAATCACAGTTAAAAGCAATCTGTTTCTGTTTTCTTAATGTAACAAAGTCCTTTTTATCAAATGGTGCTTGTAGTTAATATACAATAACACAATTATTAAATGCAAATGCAATACAATAACTAGCTTACAGGCTGCAAAAGGAAAAGAGTGATATGCATATGTTGTCACATTGTCACATCAAGTTCCCTTAAATCAATTTTTGCTCTAAAAAATGTTTCTTTTTCTTCAGAATATATCATAATTATGTATTATTTACCTTTTTTTGGTTGCATTTTCAGTGTAATATGAGCCCTGGGCTATTGAAAGGATCAAACTGTTGTTTCATGTCGATGACATCCTTTACATGTGAATAGATATCCTGTCTTGAAGCCAATTGGTTTGCAAATGAAGGCACAGCTCTCTGTCCCTCAGGGAAACTGAAGGTAGCCGAAACACAGTCTCAGTTTTCACCTGCTAGATTACCATGAGACTGCTGCTGTTCTACTTTCTTTTAGACATCTTTGAAACCCCATGAGTCATGAGTAATTTAAACATGCGTTCAATGGAAAGCACAACAGCTGTGTTGGAGAAATTGAATTGTAATGGTTACAGATATGTATAATTACAGGACTGTTTTTCTTATTAAATATGAATTATTAAACCACAATGAACTGGTGAATATGAAGAAAAGGTGTTTAATAAATTTAATGTTTGCTAAAACCTGGCCACAAATTCAAAACCACAGTGATTTATTTTTAATAAATAAGTTATTTTTTATTATTATACATTTTAATAACAGCAATATTAAACCCATATTTAATTATTTAAATTAATTATTTTAACGCAATGTAAGCTAAACACCGTCGATACTGTCATTAAGTGACGAGAAATCTCCCCATGTTAACATACTATGGTGAAGGCTTACCTCATAAATATTAATTTTTATTAATAGTTGCTTGGTAACTTTCCTGTAGCGTCCTGTTACGTAATGTCATTAAATATTCATAATTACAGCCAGGCAGGATTCGCTATTTCGCCCCGAAGACTAGAGCCCGCCTACCAACGGCTCCCTCTCAGCCAATCAGTACGGCCTATCCGGTGTACGTCATATTACGTAATTAATATTCATAAACCGAGCCTTGAAGACTTACCGTGTGTGTGCGTTTGGTTCGGTCCGGCGGAGTGCGCTGAGTTCAGAGCAGATGTCTGCACCGAGAAGTCGTAGAGACTGAATGGCTCAGCATTGGACTAATAACTTATCACTCATACGCAACTTTTCCGTTTTAACTGAGTCAGTGAAATGATTTCATTACTGACAGCTGCTTTTTTCTGGAGTGTTGCTCCTCAAAATTGAGGAAACCAGTTGCCGGGTGCTTACCTGTTCTGATAAGGATAACTTACAGTCAGACAACTGCTTGAGACACTACCAGACTGACTTCCCATTAAACTCATGCAGAAACTGGATTAAAGATTTAATGTCGCAGGTAAGATTTTTCACATATCTATAGTAAACCTGAATGTATTAGAATTCTCAAACAGCCTACATGACACCAAGCCAATTACCATAGGCTATATTTTTGTTAGTAGGCTACTATGGTGTATCAAAGTATCATGTTGAACGTTTTTTTTGTAAGGGGACTGGATAGCAATATAATATCATGACATAATGACTTCTTGTTGTGGTCTTTTTCATAAGGGTAACGTTATAGTTAAAAAGATACTCCACTTTTTTTTGGAAATTGACTCATTTTACCACTCCCCCTGTTGAGTTTTACCGTTTTCAAATCCATTCAGCCGATTTTCTGATATTTAGAAGAATATCAGTAACCAGACAGTTTCTGGTCCCATTGACTTCCATAGTAGGAAAAAAATATACTATGGAAGTCAATGAGACCAGAAACTGTCTGGTTACTGATATTCGTCTAAATACTATCAGAAAATCAGCTGAATGGATTTGAAAACGGTAAAACTCAACTGTTTAACTCTGGGGGAGTTGTAAAATCAGCCTACTTACAAAAAAAAGTGTAGTATCCCTTTAAGAGGAGTGTAAATGCCTAATAATTGTTTTGTTGCACTTGAAGTGATTGCTGCTTCTCTTAAATAATCACTATTTACCTGGCATAATATAAAGAGATGATTCATATGTTACAAAGTTTAATGACAGTCCTCTGTTTGGATGGGCATAAGCTCCGGATACATCTGTACAAGTGCATTAGAATGCTGAAAATCCAGGCCTTCAGGGAAGAGGATGTGATGACAGGATTATTATTTAATTTATCAGGTGCTGTGTTGTGTCTGTTGGACTAGGTGGACTGTTGGCCAGCAGCACTAACAAGACCTTATGGGACTTGGACTTCACACTAGCTATTTTGAGTGGTTGCACGTGAGAATTTACTTACCGTTTTCAGGGTGGTGATTTTCACACACAAAATCTTTGTATTGTTTGGTTTGCAGTGAACTTCCTTGAAGGACTTTATTCTGTCAAATCTTTTGCGAATATTGATCAGCTGATGTAATCTTATTCTTATCAAGGGTTTTTTTTTGTGTGTGTGCAAGAATATTGATTTTTTTTTTTTTTTTTTTTTTTTGCACAGAGCAGTTGTCATTGCAATCATAAAATGTTTAATCATTTGAGTTATAGCTGACAAGTATTCTAGCTCAATGAAACTGTCTGTCTGTAAGCCATCACTCCAGGCATAACTTCTGCCAGTGAAGTCTGAGTTGACTTGCCTGGAGTGTCACTTGGAGAAGTCTGTTGTTGCTTTGTGCTGAAGGAGATTATTGAAGTGTTTGAAGAGTTTCTAGGTAACCAGCCCCCATCTGTGACACACACACACACACACACACATGCACATGCACGGTCTGGTTTGTGGGGACTCTTCTTAGATGTAATGATTTTTATACTGTCCAAACTGTATATTCTGTCCCCGACCCCTAAACCTACCCATCCCACAAAACTTTATGCATTTTTACATTTTCAAAAGAACTTATTCTATATGATTTATAAGCTTTTATACCCACAATCTAGGTGATCTCAGGTTTTACTATCCTTGTGGGGACATTTTGGACACACACACACGCACACAAAAACACACAATGTTTTTTTTTTTTTTTTTTTTTTTTTTTTTTACCAGGCATGGTATCTTGAGTCCAGGAATAGTCAGTTCATTAAAAACAAGACCAAACAAAACCTTGTTTTAATGCATTAAGTCTTTATATTTAATCAGGTTAATTAATATAGGTACAGCATGAACTTTCTGCTCACGTCCTCATTTTAAGCAAATGTTGTTCTGCTGAATCTGTGATGTATTTATAATTTTGTGTCCTAAAAGAAGAATTTGCTGAAAATGAAATACTTAATTTTATAAATCTGACAATGACCCCATAACCTACAAACTCATATTGACCATAACCAAATTATTGCTGGATTACTTTCATTTAAAAATAAATTATTAGTAGCCTAGTGTTTATAAGGCTAGCATCAAGGGTACTATTTCTATACTCAGAGTTATGGATCTGAATAAAACAGTTTTTGAACAGAACAGTTCGTCAGATGTGTGATGATGTTTTTTTAATATAATGTCATTACATTGCTGTCTTGCCGCCACGACAGCCAATCGTTGCATTGCTGATCATGGTTTCCATCGATATATCTGCCCTTTCCAATGATCCAGAATCCAGATATTTTAATCAAATCCGAAAATATCCAGAGATAATGCATAGATTGTCTGCATCTGACAAATCATCTCAGATCAATTATGTTGTTGAATGCTCAGTACTGTCACCATCTTGCCATCAGCACAGAAGCACCTCAGCTGTGTTTATGGGGTCAGTATCAGGACACCGAGACAACAGTGTTGGACTCTGGCTCCATATCTCCCATAATCAGCTGCTCATAGGATCGCCAGCTAATGTGACAAACATGAATGACATTGCTGATCGGCGTGAGTCCAGTGACCACATGTGGGACAACTGGGGTTTAATGGCATGCTCTTGTGTTCATGTTGTGGGTCCGCCCGCACTGGATGCTGATAGCAGTTATGGTGAGTTGGAGGCTGTTTTGTCCAGTTGTTGAGTTCTTGTGCTATTGATGCTAGTTTTTTTTATAGCTTTAGTTAGCACCCCATGTGTTATTTGGGGTATGGTTCCTTAACTTTTTTAAGTTCCAGCTCCTAAATACTTCTTTTTAAGTAAGAATTGTGTTCATTTTGTGCAAGTCTCATCTACAGTTAAAGCTACACTGTGTGATTTTTACCCCCATCTAGCGGTGAAAAGGTTTATGACCATCCAGCGAATATTAGTTTCTGTTCCTCTCAATTCCGATTTCGTTTTAGTTCCTACGGTGGCCAATGTAGTCCAAGATTAACATGGCTTCCAGTTCGACCTCGTCCATGAGTGTTCACTCAAACGTAAACGCAAAAGGCGAAGCTTGAATTAACGGGTATGTCCCTCTTTGGCTAATGTACTTTCAAGATGGAGGGTCAACATGGCGACCGACATTAGAACCCCTTACCCGTATGTATTTTCAATGGCATATTATACACTCACGAGAATACTTTAATATACATTAATGAGCACATATATTTTTGAAAGAACTAAGTTTTTTTTAGCTAAGAATAAACTAAAAGAGTTACACAGTGTAGCTTTAAAGGGTTAGTTCACCCAAAAGTGAAAATTAGCCCATGATTTACTCAACCTGAAGCCATCTGAGGGGTATATGACATTCTTCTTTCAGACAAATATAATCTGAGTTATAATAAAGAAAAATGTCCTCCATACCGCATAGTTGGACAAACAGAAAATCCTTCCCTTAAACTAAATCATCTTACAAATGGGGTACTAATAGTTATCTCTGCATATTTTAACATTGGAAAAAAAGGCCTGCTCATTCATTTTCAGCTGTTTATCTGTCAGCAGCACTTCTGGACAGGGCGGTTTCCACCTTTGCACCCGTTCAAAAAAAAAAAAACCTCAATTAAAATTTTGAGTTCTGTGAGTTTTGTCTTTGGCGGGTGGAGTGACTTTTAGCAGTGAGGCGTACAGCGCACAAAAGAGCTGACGCCTGCAGTCCAGCCCAACCCAGAATGATCTCAGAGTGCACAATTAACCGACTCGACATCAGAATCTGAATCTTTTCATAACTTCAGAAACTTACAGTGGAGGAAATGAGTGTAAACCAGTTATAAGTTGTCAGAAGTGGAACATTGATCTGAAAAGGAATGAGATCACCTTCACACACACAATCACACTCATGCAAACACACACACACACACACACACGGATAAACAAAATCCTTCCCATTGGCTTTGTATATTCAAATGAGTTTCCAATTTGCATCCGTATGATTCCAGCTGCTTAAATGAGCCCAGTCTCTTTAAAGCCCATGTGTTTCTCTTTGAGGTCTAATCCGCTCATAATTATCTCGTGTTTTCAATGCCCTTTAATTTCTCTCCTTCTGGATACATCTGCACTTCTCGTTTTGTTTCTGTAATTTCCTTTTAAATAAACATTTTATTTAAATATTTCAAGAAGCCTTGGCAAATGATACTTGCCACTTACTAGTCCTCGGGGTTTGTTAAACCATTAACCCCAACTCCTCATTTGTTGTTAAGCCAGCGATTTTGGCCGTAATTTGGCCGTCTGAGACAAATTTTGCAAATCCTAAAAGAATTCTCTGATCCTAAGCTAAAAATCTGAAGACTTTGAATGTTAGTTTGACATGTTCACCGACAGCCGATTAATGACGTTGCCATTTAATTGTATGCATACTACCATAACAAATTAATACATTTCTATCCAAATATCACTTCTGTCACTAAATATGGAACCTCAAGACTCAGACCTTTCTGACAATATGTGTTTTGTCAAGATTAAAGGCTTTGATAATAAATTATGAAAGATGATGCCCAAAATGGGAGGGGCCTAATAAAAAATACTGTTTCTATGGTAACTATTCAATTTCAAAACGTTTTTCTGAGTTCGTAAGCTTTCAAATGATACCTAATTTATGATAACTACTAAAATATGTGATATAATATAATATATTATACTTTTTAGAGGACTTCTTACCTTACTTTTTAAAATACAATTTTATCTTTTTTATTGGCAAATACTAATTATGTTTTATTATGAACTTTTAGCACTAAAAACCAAAGTTTCAATTCTTAAAAGTGTGTACGTCGACTTTTTGTGACAAAGGTCAGAAACTCTTGTAATGACGTTGATTTTTTTGAGGCGCACTCTTGTCTTGTCTCGATATATAATTTGTCATGACTAGATTAGGATTTAATAGTAATATAGTGAAGTAAATTTAGGTTGCAAGTGACAGGAGGTTAACATTATAAAATAAAGCAATCCATGACCTCATTAATAATTAATTATTACCCTGTTTAGAACACTTTAGCGACCAATTTTTGTGCAGTCAATTACATTCTCTTGCCAAAACCTAAAAATAATTCTTTAAATTTTGACTTTATTTCTATTT